CTCTACATTTAAACCGAGAATAAAATATTTAAAAATGAAGCGTTGTCAAGGCTGGACACAAATGAAAGGTCTCGAGGCTGGGTACTTTCCGAATATATGGACCTTATGGTCAAAAAGAATTTCAGACTTAGGAAATTTTTGAATTTTCTGAAGAATTATCGCTCAAAAATTCTTTTTGACTATAACGTCCACAGATTCGGAAAGTACTCCTCGAGATCTTTCATTTGTGCCCAGCCTCGACACCGCTTCATTTTTAGTTTCTGTTCTGTGGACCCTTTTATCTGAAATTTCCCTAAAATTGAGCGATAATTCTTTAGAAAATTCAAAAATTTCCTAAGTCTGAAATTGTTCTGGACTATAACGTCCATATATTCGGAAAGTACATTTTTAATATTAAGATCCCAGGGAAAAAACTTGTCAGAATGGAATCGGATGTTAATTTCGCTCTTTGTGAGTTTCATAGATATTCAAAATTTTGACCTTTTGTGGGGGAGGTACCAGAAGGAGTGGACCGATATATCTCATCCTCACATCAGAGCTAGTTTTAGAAGAAATAATGGGATGTGTGAACTATGAAGAGAACCGGATACTTATTTCAGTTTTTATAATCGTTTTGATTATACCAAACTTTGACCCTCTTTGAGGTACCAGAAGGAATAGCCCGATCTCTACCACCGTTATAATAGGTCTTGTGTTGATAGAAATATTGAGATATACCAAGTCTCAATGGAATCGGACACTGATTTCGTTCTTTGTGAGTTTCATAGATATTCAAAAATTTGACCCTTTGTGGGGGAGGCACCAGAAGGAGTGGACCGATATATTCCATCTTCCCACCAGACCTTGGGTTACCAAAAATATTGTGATGTGTGCAATTTGATTTTATAAGAAATATAATTATTCAAAATGTTGACGTTTTGTGGGGGAGGTATTTGATGGAGTGGATCGATATTGTCCATTTTTCGCACCTGACCTAGCATTGATGCAAATATTAGGATTTACAAAGTTGGAGCCAAATAGGATTATCCTTTATCTTTCTGTGCAGTAAAATATATATATTTTTTAAATTTGGACTTCTTGGAGTGTACCAATATTGCCCATCTACGAACTCGATCTATGTTAGATAATAATATTACGATGTAGCAAGTTTGGACCAAGTTGGATACTCTCTTTGAGGGTCATCGTGCACACCAGCCAGCCAGCCAGACAGACGAACATCGCTAGATCGACTCCGAATGTCCTGAAACGGCCCAAGGAGACCTAGGGTCTAAAATCGTTATTTCGATGAGGCACATTTTGACCGTATCAAATGATTTATATGGCTAGAGAGGCTAGCCATATGGCTGCGAGTATAATTACTAAACCTGTACCCCATATGTACCCTTAATTGAAAACTGTCACGAGACCACAACATTTTTCTGAAATGATATCATTTAGAACGTTTGCGTTTTGTTTATTTGCATAATTCAGTTTCAAATTGAAAATTGCAATGCGAAATTGAAACATGTTAACACAAATGTAAACACATTAAATAAATTATGTGCTAAGTGTTTTGAGAAAATGGCATCGATTTTTTATTTGTTCTATATTTACTTAGATTATTAACTCTATTGGAATTTTTTCAATAATAAAAATTGTACTGCGAAGTGGGCTTTAACCAAAATATGAAATGTTGTAATTTTATTCAAAAAATCAGTCGATAAATCTGTTTCAGAAATTCTGAATCTTAATTTCGAGAATCCAGTTTGATGCCAAAGGATATGAAGTGGTGTTGTTAATTATTACAGGTGATGTTTTATTTGAAGAAGGTTATATGTTACAGGTTTGAAAAATATGAGATTTTGAATTGTCTTTAAGTGCCTCATAAAAGTGTATGGCTATATTTGAACTCCAATTTTTGAAAATGAAATCTTTAGTATTCTATTGACAGCTATGATTCTGGCTTTCTATGAGAATACTTCCTGGCCTTCTGGACTTCTACAGGAGGACTAGGACTCTTCTATGACTAGGATTTCTGCCTTCGGGGAGAAGACCTCCCTACCTTCCTTGAGAAGAATTTCTAGTTTTGTACGAGAAACAAGTAAAAGAACATTTATTTCGGCCGAACTTCCAACATTGGGTAAATAAAACATTTTTATATACATTAATCTGAATTCAAACGTGTTCCACTTCAAACTACAAATACCAGGACCATCTAGACAATGCTGTTAAAATTAAAAAACATTAAATGGGTGAGGCCGTTGTATGGAGGCTATACCAAAACGGGAACCTCCATAGAAATTTTTTTACTTCAAGGATTGTCATCTACCAAATCTCCTTAAATACAAAATTCGGAACAATTTCGTGGGTAATTTTTTTTTTCATAATACCCAGTATTGGGGAACTAGAACCCATTACGAAAAGTGGCTAAAAATATTTAAAATATCGAAAAGCGGGAGGTACAGTCATATGAGGGCTATCCAAAAACGTAGACATAGGAGCTTAAACCCATTTTGACCTACAAATATCAACTTATAGACAAATCCGTGGAATAATTTGGCAAAAATCGTCAAAATACTGAATCCTCCGGATATACATATTCCATTATGTGGGGGCTATACGAAAACGTGGACCTAAATTTCCAATGTTCTGCCTCAGGAGCTATAAACCACTACGAACTACAAATACCGATTTTACGAACTACAAATACCGATTTTTAAATTAATCCGTGGAAAATCAAATCATCAAAACACCGTTTATCGAAAGGTACCGTTATATGGGAGTTATACGAAAACGTGGACCTATATATCTCATTTTTAATGCCGACCATCGAGACACAAGAATGGTTACTGGTTTTTTATTAGAAATATTTACTTTCTTAATTCTGAAAAGTGTCCCGTTGACTGCCAGAAAGGATACTTGCAATAGATTCAGAGTGCGAATTCTCGATTTTCACGAGAAGAATCGAAATAACATTTTTAGATCCTAGGTCTCTTTGGACCAAATCTGTTTCAGGACATTTGGAGTCGATCTAGCGATGTCCGTCATTCTGCTTGGCTGGCTGGCTGACACGCACGACAACTCTCGAAACGAATATCCGATTTGGTCCATACTTGACACATATTATTATTATCAAACTTAGATCGAGTTCGGAAATGGGCAATATCGGTTCTGGTACCTACCCCACAAAAGGTGGAAATTTTCAAAGAAAATATTTTACTGCCAGAAAAAGAACCGATCATCCGATTTTGCTCCAACTTTGCAAATCCTAATATTTGCATCAGTTCTAAGTCAGGTGCGAAAATTTACAATATCGGTCCACTCCATCAAGTACCTCCCCCACAAAGGGTCAACATTTTAAATAATTATAACTTTTATAAAATGTTATATAAGATTCCGATAGTCTTCAAATGACACACATCACAATATTTTTATTTACCCAAGGTCTGATGTGAAGATGGAATATATCGATTCACTCCTCCTGGTACCTCCCCCACAAAGGGTCAAAATTTGAAATATCAAAGGAGCTCTTAAAACGCGAAATTATTATCCACTCAGATTTCGCATATATCAATACTTCTATCAACACAAGGTCTCTTATAAATATGGTAGAGATCGGACCATTCCTTCTGGTACCTCCCTCACATAGGGTTCATGATTTGGCAAAGTTCAAAGAAAGCGAAATAAGCATCCAAACCTCTTGAAATTTCACACATACAAGCATTTTTGTGAAGATAATATATATCTGCAAACCCCTTCTGTTATCTCACCCAGAAAGGGTCAAAATTTTGAATAATTATAACTCTCATAAAATCTCATGTAAGTGGCCGATTCAAATTCCAATTAAACACATCATAATATTTTCATTAACACAAGGCCTGGTGTGTAGATTATATATATATCGGTCTACGCCTTCTGGTGCCTCCTCCTCCACAAAGAGTCAAAATTTTGAATATGCATGAAGCTTTATAAAACGCGAAATTTACATCCGATTCCATCCAGTCTTGGCATATCTCAATGTTTCGATCAACACAAGGTCTGTTATAAAGATGGTAGAGGTTGAACCATTCCTTCTGGTACATTTCCCCCCAAAAAGGGTTAAAGTTTTGTATAACCAAAATGATTATAAAATTCGAAATAAACATCCGGAAATGAATATGGAATTTATGATTTCGCATAAAATTGGATATATAAAATTTCGATTTTCTTGTAATTTTGACCATACCATCTGCATTAGATGAAGTATGAAGATGGAATACTTCGGTCACTATTATCCCATACCTCATATAAAGAGAAGGAAGCAACCAATATAGTGCAAAACTGGCACGTCGCAATATTTATATCGTATTTATTTTGGTCCGCACCTACTCCATAGAGGGACAACAAAATGAACAATCACAACAAAAGTCAAAATATATTTAAGAAATCGAACATTGGCATAACCGACTCGATAAAAAATTTTTTATCTCAAATTTTCATAGAACAAGGATTGATGCTCTGAGGAGATAAACATGCCATGGCTCATAAATGAGATTTAGTATCACTCTCATGGTTATAGAAAAATTTGTTTATACCCAGTGACCAATAGTCTACAATTTTAGAGCCATTAACCTTTAAATGCATATAAAGCTCTTATTTCTTCCTTGTTTCTTTGCGGATGTGGTCAAATCTCTGTTGCCTGATGCCTAATAATTTTGTTGGCTATTTTTTTTTTTGCAATAAGTTTTATATTTTGAAGTACATTTGCTGTCTTTTTTATGTAATCAAAATTATATCACATTACATTTTGGAAATTAAAATCCAACCAAACTACAGCCTATCATGCCATTGAGCGATTTTTTGGGGCAAACTCATTTTGAGATGTGGTTAAGTGGCATTTTTGTGATACGTGTTGTGTTCGACACAATACAGCAACGCAAACCATACCTTCGACACATGTAATTGATATTTTTATGTGTCTGGAGATCATGAAATAAATAAAAAAACACATATACTATTGGCATTATAAACCCACTACTTACCCCTTTCACTTTCAATAACATCATCGTCGTCGTTGTCATCATCCTCTTTACTCTTGACCAGGGTAAATTGGTGTGTGAAATTCGACAATGCTGAGGCTGCACTAATATTGGTACCCTCAAGGGCATTGTATTCCAAAATTGTCTCCTCAGTAAATATTTGCATGCTATAGTTCACCTTATCCTCAAAGACAGAGGCAATTTTACCCTCCAAATGTTTGGCTGAATCTCCCACTTTTTTCTCACCGCCAACTGTCAACAGCTGATCGTTGAGATCACAGTTGTCCTTGAGACTACACGTGGCTGCCGCTGCATGATTTGTGGCATCGAGGGCATAGATCCCAGGGTGAGGACGACTAAACACTGCCAGTAACAGGCATAATAGGGTTATCCCCTTGTTACGCATTTTTTTTCGGTAGTTCTTTGTTTTTTGTTGTTTTTTATATTTTTTTTTTCTTATTTTTTCACTTTTTTTAATTATTGTTTTTGTTTTGATTTTGGTCAATTGTGTTTTGTGTTTTTTTGTGTTATATTTGTTCACAGTTCCATTCGTTTAATTTTGTTAATTTGCATAGCAATTTGTCTTAATTTGTTTTTTTTTTCGTTATTCCGTTAAATGTCCGGTTTTGTCGTTATAATTTTGATTTTGTTTTTTTTCTCTTGTTGTTGTTGTTGCTGCTGTAACGAGAAGAAATTATGTAATTAACAGAAAATTGGGGTCAGTTTTTTGTTTGTACTTTTCGTTGCAATGTAGGCGTTTTTGGTGTTATTCGTTGGAGGTAATGTCTTGCTTGTCGTTAACACAAAAAATGACAGATGGTTAAAAATTAAAAAAAAAAAAAAACACGCGAATACAATTGCTTATATCGACATTTGATTGATAAGGGTCCAAAAATCTGAAATTTATACATTTCAGCCAAAATTCCTGATCATTTTTTCTGTAGAGCTACTTGACAGTTGGTAAAGAGGTGTGGCAGAAATATTTTAATTTTTGAAACTATAGAAAAGGGATTCACTCTAATTTTATAAACCGATATCAAAAGGAAATGTTCCAGTACGTCTAAGAGTTATATTTATACCCTACACCACAAGGAGATCAGGGTATTATGTCTCTGTGCATTTGTTTGTAACAGGCAAAAGGAAATGAGATTGACCCATAGTTCCTTTTGACGATATGCATAGAATCACATCCTGAGACCATGTATGCACGTTCGTACATCCGTCCGTCCATCCGTCTGTCTGTCCATGTTTTTTTTGTAAAAAAAGTACAGGTCGCATTTACTGCCCGATCCAGAAGAAATTTTGCACAAATCATTTGATTGGGCAAAGGACGCACCCTGTTTAAATTGGAGATAATCGGTCAAAATTTAGATATAGCCCCCTTTTATAACTTCATCCGATTTGCCTTTTATTGTCCACCAAACGTGTAATTTCAGCCCGAATAGGATGGAGTTTTGAACATGTGGCCAAATTAGGCCTGAAAATAAGTATACCAAATTTGATCGAAATCCGTTCAGATATAGCTATAGCTCCTATATATATTGTTCATCCGATTTGTTATTTTTGTCCTCCGCAGCCGTAATGTAACAACAATATTTGAGGAAATATATCAAATACATCTCAGAAATACCTTTGCTAAATTTTATCGAGATCGGTTCAGATTTCGATATAGCTCCCATATATAACTTCGTCCGATTTACCTTTTATTGCGCACCAAACGTCTAATATTTGTCCAAATGGGATGGATGGCACTTACGACCGAATTGAGTCTAGAAGCTAGTATGTCAAATTTGGTGAAGATCCGTTCAGTTATAGCTATAGCTCCCATATATACTGTTCATCCGATTTGTCATATTTGTAACCCACAGCCGTAATATGTACTCCGTAACAACGATATTCAGGGAAATATATCAAATACAGCTCAGAAATATCTTTGCCAAAGTTTATCGGGATCGGTTCCGATTTGGATATAGCTCCCACATATGTCTTTATTCCGATTTCAAATTAATTGTGCACCAAATCGGCAATACAAGTCCGAATTTGAAAGATACGAATGCTTCGGCATATTTATTTTCATGGCGTGTATGATTGAAATCTCCCATAAAAACTTTTAATTGTTATGCGGAGCTCTACTAAATTAGCAAAGTGGTGTAGGGTATCACAAAGTCGGCCCCGCTCGACTTTAAAACTTTCTTCACTGGTTTTATTTTTGTCCTCTACAAGCGAAATATGCACTCTGTAACAACGAAATTTTGGGGAAATCTATCAAAAACAGCTCAGAAATATCTTCGATTTGCGCACCAGCCAGACGGACGGACGGACGGATTCGGTCCAAAGACAGCTAGGATCTAAAGTTCGAAAATTTCGATGATATCTTGACAATTAAAAAGATATCCGAAAATTCTAATTTGGAAAGGGCATAACAGAAAAGGGCATAAAAACACGTTTCGTTTTTTTCTCTGTCCAGAATTTTAAGTTTGATCTATAATCTATCCATGAATCGTCACCGCGCACTTCTTGTGTTCAGCGGCGAAGCTCATTTTTGGCTCAATGGGTATGTAAATAAGCAGAATTGTCGAGTTTGGAGTACTTCTTAAAAGAAGCTGCCAATCGTAACGTAACTGTGAATGGTGAGTGCTATAGTGAGACGATATCGATTTTTCCTGAAAACGCTAAATTTTGACTTTCATGATATGTGGTTTCAACAAAAGGGACAAAGGGAGGAGAGTTCGGTGAACATTTTTTTCACTGTTTTGTTTTTTTTTTTTTTTTGGAGCTCATGTCTTAACAAATGAACCCTCTTTAATTGGCGCATTGGAAGAAAAATTTGAAGCATTTATTCGTAAAATACCGGCCGAAATGTTGGAAAGAGTATCCAAAAATTGGACTAGGCGGATGGACCATTTGAGGTGCAGCCCTGATCAACATTTGATTGAATGATTATATGAACCGAACAATCATCTATCAAAATTGTGTTCTGCAAAGAATATATACATTTTTCTATGAAAAGTACAGAGGTTCTACTTTTCATGTTTCTTTGGACAAGATCCGATTTTGGAGTCGAAATGTGTGTCAATAAATATTGTTTCATTGCTTCTTGGATCTCGAAAATTAAACAATATTGGCGGATTGTACCCTGTCTAGCCACTCCTACTCTACCTCCCTCACAAATAGCCAAAAATGTGAATGAGCGAATTTATTGTTTTAAGCTGTATTAACTCGTTCGTTCTGATTCTTTTGGTCCTCCGTTCAATATTGGCCTCGAAAAATTTTATTTTAAAATTAAAATTTTTCAATGGTCCATTGGGTTATAGCCATTATATAAGAAACTTTTATGTTAATTGTAAATAAAAATAATTTAAATAAAATTAATTTATTAAAATAAAAGAATGGTTTTATTTTAAAAATAAATTATTATTTTTAAATAATATGATAATAAATAAAAAATAAGTTAAATGATCTTTAAGATATAAAATATATTAATTTTTAGAGATTATACAAATGTATAAAAAATTCTTCTTTTATTAAAAAAAATTAATAAAAAAAAATATATTTTTTTGTAAATGTGGATCATTTTTTTAAAAAAATGTAATTAATTTTTTTTTATAAAATTTTTTTTAAAATAAAAATGAGTTTAATAAAATATATTAATTTTAAAAGATTATACAAATTACAATTTTATAAAAAAATATAATTTATATATATATATATATATATATATATATATATATATATATATATATATATATATATATATATTTTTTTTTTTTTTTTTTTTTTTGGTAAATGTTGATTATTTCTCAAAATAAATGTAATTAATTTTTTTTATTAAATTAAATGTATTTTTTAAATAAAAATTAATTTATTTAAAAATTATTAAAATAATTTTGATAAATTTATTTATTTTTATATCCATTTTTTAATTTTGTTTTAAAATAATTTTTATCTTTTTTTTTTGATTTATTTAAATAAATTAATTTTTATTAAAAAATATGTATTTGAACTTATATTTTTTAATTATTTTTAATTTACTTTTAATGTTAAATGATTTTTATATAAGGGGCTATAACATCAAAAACGTTTTTAATTTGTTTAAAAATATTTTTCTATTAATAAATATTAATATCGTCTCTGGACTATAATTTATTCTTAGCCACGATTTGAAATATCCTGTCTGTATAAATATCCTGTCGAACTTTTTTTAGATTTTTATTTATTTTTTTTTTCAATTATAATTCAATATTTTAGCTTCTTTGTTCTTATAAAAACATGTTTATTTATTTTTTATTGTCACAATTTAGGTTTTGGTTTTGAAAATATTTTTTTTTCAATATTTCATAATATTCCTTGTTTTTTTTTTTAATTTTTCATGAATAGCCATAAATTCTTTAATTTTCACACACCGTCACTTGAATTTGAAATTTAACCAAGTTTCTTATTTTTTTTTTTTTTTGATTTTTTGAGAATCGATTCTTTTCACTCAAATCCGTTTTTCCGAGTCGCTACAACCGCTTAGATGCGAATTTCAATTCGAACTAAACGCTACGAATGTCTGAATGTTGGCTGGAAACGGTTAAAGCGAAAGAAGCAATTTTTTTTCTGAATTATTCATGCAAAGTGCGCGCGCGTTAAGGCAAAGCAAAAAACCCACAGCAAAACATTCAAAATCAAAATCCAAAACTCGAAACTGACTTATTCGAATATACTAAACTACAACAACAACAAAAGCAGCGACAACAAAGTCTGAGCTGAGCGAGAAGAATACTAAAAACGTTAAGACATCGTGTGCTATTATTCCATTACGGATGGCTAGCCACCAGCTAACAGCTAGAGCAATCTAACTAACTTTGCTGTGGTCGATCGGTCGATCATATAGACAAAAACATTTAGCACCGACCAACATAACAACAAACCCAAACCAAAAACCGCCAACAGTCGGGCGAACAACCTGTTAGCGAGCGGCCTGACTAAACCTCTCAAAACCAAAAAAACACAAAACAGCCAAAAGAATTTCAAAATATTGACAAAAAGCAGAAAAAACACACATTTCGGACGACAAAAGAAGAGAAAAACCAACAACAATGCTAAGATTACAACCGCTCGTCACTGTGACTGCTAAAAATCCGCTCTCAACTCGATGGCCATAAATAAATTTGATTTAGATCGTCACTTTGACGGCTTTTCAGTTCAGTCAGCCAATGTGTGGGAAATGATGAAGAAGTTAACTGGCCAGAGCTGAAAAGAAATAAATCGCAGTTAACAGAGTTACGGCTAACAGTGGCCAATTCCATTCATTCTTTTCTTCGGGTTGACTGCTGAGAGATACGTTTGAAATTAACAGTGTCTCCGACTTGGCTGTTAGTTACATTGCATCACTCGTTTGCTCGCTCTCTTTCTAATGGCAAGAGAGGTTTGATTTCTCTGTTAAAAGTACAATGTCGGCAAATAACATTTGTTTGAAATGTTTTTTTTTAATAAATGCCGGTTGCTGCGCATGCTCACACAATGTTATCAATCAAAATATTATTGAATGGTTAACATATGCGAGAGGTGTTTTGGAAATTATATTCAAATAATGAATTTTTAAAGCCTCAGTCTTATGGCTAATCAGGACATTTTGTAGATAAAAAATGTGATTTATCGAAATGGCAGTTGTAATCCCAGTGCCTTTTTGTACGGAATTAGTTTTGGGACATTTTCAGTTAATCAAGTCAAATTGGTCCGTCTCTTCGTTTGTTTGGGCACACAAAGAAAGTCCTAAAGTCGTGCGGTGCCGACTTTATGATACCCTACACCACTTTGCTAATTTAGTAGAGCTCCACATAACAATTAAAAGATTTGATGGGAGAATTTAATCATACACGCTATGATTATACTTTTAATTTAAAGTTCAAAGGACTAAACATGCCTAAGCATTTGTATCTTTTAAATTCGGACTTGTATTGCCCATTTGGTGCAAAATTTTTTTTGAAATCAGATAAAGAAGTATATGGGAGCTATATTCAAATCTGAACTGATCTCGATAAAATTTGGCAAATATATTTCTGAGCTGTATTTGATATATTTCCCTGAATATCGTTGTTACGGAGTGCATATTACGGCTGTGGGTAAGAAATCGGATAAACAATATATATGGGAGCTATAGCTATATCTGAACCGATGTTCACCAAATTTGACATACTAGCTTCTAGGTTCAATTCGGTCATAAGTGCCAAATTCCATTCCGTTTGGACAAATATTAGACGTTTGGTGCACAATAAAAGGTAAATCGGACAAAGTTATACATGGGAGCTATATCCAAATCTGAATCTGAACCGATCTCGATGAAATTTAGCAAATGTATTTATGAGCTGTATTTGATATAGTTCCCCAAATATTGTTGTTACAGAGTGCATATCACGGCTGCGGAGGACAAAAATAATAAATCGGATGAGCTATATATATGGGAGCTATAGCTATATCTGAACCAATTTCGATCAAATTTAGCATACTTATTTTCAGGCCTAATTTGGTTGTATGTGCTAAATTCCAAAATTACACGTTTGGTTCACAATAAAAGGCAACTCGGACGAAGATATATATGAGAGCTATATCTAATTTTTCACCGATTATCTCCAATTTCAATAGTCCTTGTGGCCAAACAAATGTTGTTTGGAAAATTTCATCTCAATCGACCTGTATTTTGTTCACAAGAATACATGGACAGACGGACTGACATGCATAAATCAACTCAGAAAGTGATTCTATGGAGATCCTCAAAAGTAACTATGGATCTATCTCGCTTCCTTCTCCATGTTACAAACAAATGCACAAAGGCATAATATCCTTACCACTATGTGGTGTAGGGTACAAAAAGAGCATCTAATTCGTTTAAAACTTCCATTTGTAATATTTTTTTATCAAACTTACTTCAGGTCAAAAATTGGTAATATCAGTTTACTTCGCTACCTCTTACTCCCAAAACGTCTAATTTTGCGCAAAAATCATTTAACTCATACATAGCGTAGGGGGTCCTAAACTTGCACATTATAATAGCTTATGGCTTTAAAGGGTATATGTGACTTGTTACGATACAAGTTCATTACTCTACCAAAAAGAGTGCTGCAAGCTCACCCCAAAAAAAATGATTCTGTCGAAACCCAAAATTCTAGCTATTTTCCTCCTCTAAAGGGTGATATAAAAACAAAGTCAAACGCCATAATTTTTACATTTCTTTTTTAAGTTTTATTGAATGAAAGCCAAAATGTCGGAAATAGCATCAAATTTTAGAATAAGTTTAGATTTGTTCGAATTGGTCATCTTTGGCACAAATTATGGCCTTCAAACGGCCAATGAAACTGTCATACGCTTCTCAAATGTTGCTCTGCTGTATTTTGGCCCATTCACGCCGAAGCGCTTGTTTGAGGTGATCGTCAAATTGTTATTTTTTAGTGCCAACCTTGCTTTTCAAAATACTCCAGACACAATAGTCCAACTGATTGGTATCCGGAGATTTTGGTGGCCATTGTGTGCTGGAAATGAAGCGAGGAACCTCATTTTGTAACCATTCTTCGGTGGAGCGTGCTGAGTGCGATGGTGCTGAGCCCTGTTGGAATGTCCAAGGTCTATGGTCAAAATGTTTGCTTGCCCAAGGGTTTAAAACACCCTCCAGAATATTTTCTCGATAATATTCGGTATTAATTCTGATGCCATGGTCGATTAATACGAGCCCTCACCATCACCATGGCCTACGCTTCAATTCTGGTGGCACATTTTCAACTGACCTCTTTGGCAAGTAAACACGATTATTTTGTTTGTTTACAAACTGCTGGACAACGAATGTTTTCTCATCGGAGAAAATCAAATTCGGCAGTTCACCTCTTTCTGTCAAGCGAATTAACTTCTTTGAGCTCTTTTGAGTCTATTTTCTCTTTGTTGCGGTGTAAGTTCTTGCACTTTTTGGAATTTCAATGGTTTTACCCCGAGCTCATTTTTCATTATTTGCCGAATGGAATATTGCGATATGTTTAGCTCACAAGCCATTTTTCGGCCACGGCGACGCGGGTTTCGATCAAGTCGCTTCTTTATTTTTCGAACCATTGCTGCAGATGTTGCTGATTTCTTCCGTCCACTTCCTTGACGTCGGGCTACGAGCGGTGGCACGAGACACAAAAGATTTATTTACATTTAAATGCTGGAGTGCTCTAACGATAGCCACTTGTCGTTTCCTAGCCAAATTACACTATCACGCTTGAATTCCATCACTAATAACTTTTTTTCTGGAAAATTCTCACTAAAATGCTTTTGTACGCTTGTAAACAATATAATGAGCTGTCACTGGAATAATTTTAACAGCTGTCGGATGAGTGGCGTAGAAATTACAGCAGTCTGAAGTTGGTTGCAGTTTTTTCATCTCACCCTGTATTTGGTACAATTTGGTATTGTGGGTGAACAGATAGTGCTTGAAATCGGAAATTTGTTATTAGATACGCTCTTCATGTGTAGCCTGGACATACGGAGGTTCTTTCGGAATTGTGTATTATAATATTATATTATATTATATTATATTATATTATATTATATTATATTATATTATATTATATTATATTATATTATATTATATTATATTATATTATATTATATTATATTATTATATTATATTATATTATATTATATTATATTATATTATATTATATTATATTATATTATATTATATTATATTATATTATATTATATTATATTATATATATTATATTATATTATATATATTATATTATATTATATTATATTATATTATATTATATTATATTATATTATATTATATTATATTATATTATATTATATTATATTATATTATATTATATTATATTATATTATATTATATTATATTATATTATATTATATTATATTATATTATATTATATTATATTATATATATTATATTATATTATATTATATTATATTATATTATATTATATTATATTATATTATATTATATTATATTATATTATATTATATTATTATATTATATATATTATATTATATTATATTATATTATATTATATTATATTATATTATTATATTATATTATATTATATTATATTATATTATTATATTATATTATATTATATTATATTATATTATATTATATTATATTATATTATATTATATTATATTATTATAAAGTACTAAATGGCACTAATTTGGATTCACTGTTGGTATGTAGAATGGGGAGATGTAGATCGTTTTGGGTGTGTGTACCAAATGTTACAGTTTTGTATTGGGTGAAAGAATAGATCTGAAATTTTATGGGGATTACATATGGAAACGTTGAAATATGTCTGGGCAGAAAATTTGAATTTTAAATTTTTCTTTCAGAAATTTTCCTTTTCAAATTTCTCTCTGTGCACAATACAGTAATAATACTAACTACTATTACTTCATACTTATTTATAATAATAACAATTTATTTTAGCACCATCAAAACAACTGACAAATTTAAGAATAGGAATAAATTATAGTCCGTAGTGAAAAAAACCAAGAACGTAAAGAAAAAGTTGTAGAATTAACA